ACAAACAAAAATTACTTAATTTGGGCATCAGATCCAGACCCGCATCTGGATCCAAAACACAGGCCACCATTTGGGGTCCCCTAATCTCGACCTTACTTTTTACATTTAGGCTACTTTAACCTCATTTTGCTTATTATTTTTGTATTCTAACTAACACATTTCAGAGACTTACCTCATTTTCAGAAGCCCAGTCACTACACATCAGCAGCAGCTCAGCGAGACCCAGAGCAACTATTAGATTCTTATGAACAGTTGTGCGGTCGGAGTTTGGGACTCTACACACAAAAAACATAAAACTCAATATGTGAGTGAGGATCACACTGTAGTTCTCCAGATTTTATCAAAACTGTTTCATTGCAGGGATGCTCACACATACACAGCATGGATTTATGAAATAATTTTCACCCTTGATGCTTTCAGAGTAAACTGTGATCTTTGTGACTCACCCCACAGCAATGAAGAGAATGAAGGTGAAGAGGAGGCCACACAGAGACACTCCACAGCCAATGAACGTCAGAACCTGCAGAGCTTTTTCGTTCTCTGTGCTCCTCTGACACAGAAAGAAACATAAAAAGTGTACAGTATAAATAGCTGCACATACTGTTGATGAAAGCCCACAAAAAATCCACAATCATTTCTTGATAGAAAAATATTACCTGGGCTTCATAAACTTGCAGCAGTAGCGCAAAATTAGTAGTGTGGTTGCAGTAGCACACAGTGTACCCATAATGTTTGGACACTATGTCACAGCCTTTCGTATTCCACCACCCACCAGCCTCAGGACTAGTTAGATGCAGAGAACAAATACTTACAGATGTACAACCAGACAAAAATGCAACAAAATAAAACATTCTTCAGCAAGTCTTCCACTATTGCATCTTTGCAAATCAATATTAATAATCTAAATTATCTATGCTTTTCAAAAATGCCATTATTGCTTACTTGAGATTAAAATCCCAGAAGGCACACACTGGATTGTATACAGTATCAAAGGATTGCTGCTGGACAAACACAATTTATGATAAACATATTAATCTGACAAAAAAATGTGATTTTGAAAATGAAACCAGATRTTAGAGATTTTGTCAACCTGTACTCTGTGCCGGAGCTGGAAATGAACTGCCATGCTAACTGGTTGGTCATCTCCCAGGACAGTGGTGGATATAACTGAAGAGCCCAGAATAGTGCCCAGATACCTAGAGGTGTACAAATATTTATGCTTCAAGAGTCAACATATACAATCATCAAAGATGTCAGTATTCTTCCATCCATCCATCCATCCATCCATCCATCCATCCATCCATCCATCCATCCATCATTCCATCCATCCATTCATCCATCCATTTTCTCTAACCACTTTATATTTTTGGGTTGCATGGGAGCTGATGCCTAACTACAGCAGTCTCACAAGGTGGGGACATCCTGGACATGGTAAGAGTTACCACTAAACCTAACATACATGCTTTTGGTCTGTGGGAGGTAACTGGAGTACCCAGACAAAACAGGCAAGCGTTGGGAAAACATGTACAATCCAACCAGAAAGGTCCCAGGCCAGGTGACAATCCATTGTGTCACACAATATTTTACAAAATATAATATTTTAAATGAAACTAAATACCTAGCTTTTCTAGAAGGAATACATGAAAGTTGTCTTTCATGCTATATTTTTTAAACTAAGATAATCTAATGTTGACAAATGACAGTTTTAGTTGTTTAGATAAAACCTTTTAAATAATGTTAATTGTGATCTCATGTGATGTGTAAGACCTTAAGATAGTAGATAGCTGTAGATCAGCCAGTTTTACCATATTCGGTGTGGTAATAACTGAGAGTCATTCTTAACTCATTCTATGTGCTTAAATTGCTCAGCTTTGGTGGCCATCTTAAATGCGGCAAAAGTTTATACTAGTGAATTCTAGGTTGTACACMTTATTTTGTTGGTTACCCCAGTCATCATTATACCTACATCAGCCTACTTTGTAGACACTTTGGCCACTGACCTCTTGTTTATGATTCATTTTCCTGGAGTACACTTTAAAATAAAGATACAGTATAAATGAAGATAACCCCTGCCTTCTGTCACTGAGTCAGAGGATAAAAGAGTCCTTTGAAGACCTAAAAGCAGGAGAGCACCAGGACTGACAGGYTATCATGGCATGTCCTGAAGTCTTGTGCTAACCTGCGAAACCCAGTGTCCTATTTTCTTTAACAGGGCCTTGGTTCCCCACCCCGCCCATCTGGAATAAGTCCACCATTGTCCCCAAAAATAACATCTGACAGTGCCTTAATAGCTATAGCTTAGAGGCCTTGACTTCTGTGCTGACAAAATGCTTTGAGACTTTTMAAAATATAAATCATCCCTGCCTGACACATTTGATTCACTACAGTTTACATAAAGCCAATCAGATCTGTAACAGCACCACCACCAACCTCCTGCACTTCACCTGTTCTCATCTGGAAAAAAGGAGGGGTAAATGTTCAAGAATGYCGTTTATTGACTACAGCTTAGCTTTTAATACCTTAGTCCCCCTCACCCTGCCTATAAAAATGAAGGCATTGGGTCTTAATAGCACCCTGTGCATTGGAATCTTATTCTCACCAACCGGATCCAAGTCTCTTTCCATCTGCACAGGTGGCCCACAAGGTATACACCTACAGTGTACCAGTATCTCCAACTCCATCATCCAGTTTGAGACAGCATGTTGATCATTGGACTGATCACTAATATCAAAAAGCATAATAACAACAAGCAGGCTTTTCTGAACCATAAAAATATCTATTGAAAAACTGATTATCATTTCATAAGCGAYCTCCAGGAGATTAAATCTTAAATGCAGAGGAAGCTGCCAAGGTGGGAACAAAACTAGCTGAAAATCTCTTGATTTTCTGGATTATCTAACTTATACACACTTCTACTTCTAGTACATAAACACTCTCAATAGACTTTTTCTCTTACTACTGGACTGTGCTTAAGACACTTTTTTATCTTTCAACACTTCTTGGTTTTATTGGTGTTTTTGGGATCTGSTAGCTCTTGRTAGCACTGGCTTAGCATCATGGCTAATTCTCTCCAGGTTCCTTCTGTTCTCACTTGCTCCATGTGTCAGATGTTTAGTTACTGCTCTGCCTCCTTTAGTGACAGCGACACGTATGAAATGTAGTCTTATGGTAGCTTTGMAGGGAAGGCTGTCTGATTTGGAAGCTCAGATCTGCGCCGTTGAAAAACCAATAGCTAGCCAGAGCCTCTWAGGCAGACCAGAGGTATGAGTAGCTCCTAGCATCGTTAATGGTTCTCCAGCAGTCCCCATGCTGTCAGGACCTTAGGCCGGCTGTGTGGCGGTTCGGAGTAAGCATAGTGCTAAAGCTAAGGCCAAGCCCCCAGTTCATGTTTCAAACCGATTTTCCTCACTCAGCAACACACCTGCTGAGAAACCGGCCTTGGTAATCAGCAGCTCCATAGTRCGAAACGTGGCACTGGGGACTCCAGCGACCATAGACAAGAGCGTTCCGGGGGCCAGAGCAGGCAATATTGAATCTTATCTGCTGACTAATCCTAATGCCATAAGATTTTTATTCACATCAGCGATAATAACACCTGGTTACGCCAATCGGAGGTCACTAAAATTAACGTTGCTTCGGTGTGTAAKTTTGCCAAGACWATGTCTGACTCTGCAGTTTTCTCTGGTCCCCTCCCCAACCTGACGAGTGATGACAGGTTTAGTTGCATGTCGTCGTTCCACCGCTGGGTGTCCAGGTGGTGTTCTGAAAACAACGTAGGCTACATAGACAACTGGAGTTCTTTTTGGTGAAAACCTGGTCTGATGCAGAGAGATGGCATTCATCCCACTTTAGCTGGAGCCGCTCTCCTTTCTAGGAATCTGGACAATTTTTTGACCACTGAAATTATTGACAATCCAGGGTCTAGTCCAGGAAGCAGAGCTGTAGTCTTACACACCTCTCTGCTGCTTCTCCTCTGTTAC